ATCTCAAAGAGGGGAGACAAGGTCCAACCCCCACCCACCCGACCCCGGCAAACACCTCCCTAGGACCTGCCAGGCCAGCTCTCTGGCTTCCCTGGTCAAGGCTCTGTGCAGGAAAAAGGCCATCGCATGACGTGCCAGCCCGGCTTCCCAAGGTTCACGGCAAGGGCTGCATCTGGCCTGACCGCGAGCAGCTGGCTCGTGGAGACCCGCAAGCACCTTCCGCAAGCAGGCTGACCATCCCCAAGCCAGGATCGCCATGTCAGGAGAAAGCACTGCCAGCCTCCACGGCCGCACAGCTCCGCACCTCCAGTGCCTACACAGCACCAGGTCTGGGAGGACAGTGGGGCACCTGCCAGGCGGCAGCTGGGTGGCTCGGGCCCCTGAAGGGCCTCCCCCACCCAGGGTCAAGCCATCAGGGCTCGCTTGGGTCTCTGAGTTCCAGCTGGCTGGAGGGACCCCACCCGAGAGGCCACCCTCCTAGGCAGCCTTCCCCTGAGAAAGAGGGGGAGCGGGAAGGGCGAGACGCTGCGTCTCTTGCTCCCTTGCAAACGCGCACCTGGGCCCCTACACTTCCCTATGCAGATGGAGAGTGCGCTGGCTGGTCAGCCCACACATGAAGTTCAGAACCCCAGACTCCTGGGAAGGGAGAAGGCGCCAAACCGCCTCCAGGCTGCACTTAAAGTCAGGCCCTCCTCCTTTCACGCCGACACTCATTTGGAACCTCAACCATCCCGTGATCCCTGAGGGGCAGGACAAAGTGCAGCAGGCAGGGCCCCTGGGCACACCAGCCAGAAAGAAGGTCCTCAGCCAGCTGGCATCCTGAAGCGTCACCCAGCGTGGCAGGCAAGAGGGCCCTGCAGGCGGTCACTCCCCAAGGCCGACCCACCCGGGAGGCCTGGAAGCACCACAAAAAGCCTTCCCAGCCAAGCCATCGAGGGCTCCTACAATTTGCCTCTCCTTTCCAATGACACTTTAACATGCACCCTCGCGCACCGAGTTAGATGCCCAGGGCCAAGATTTAGGGACCTTGGTCAGCATTCCTCGTTTATACTGACCCGTTGGAAAAAATTCCCAACAGTCCCCAGAAACTTTCAGGCCTGGGAGAAAAAAAACACCTTTGAGACATTTCTCAAAGGAACTAGCCCATCTCTCCCTCCAGGGAGCAGTTTTGGCCGCCTGCTCTGCTCCACCCGGGATGCCGAGAACCCCTAGGCTCCCATCATCGCATTCGGTTTGCACCAGCAGCCAGCCGTCCTTCCTTCTCTCAGACCCAAGAGTACCAGGCAGCCCCAGGTGGAGACTCTCTGGCTCTCCCAAAGGATTCACCGGCCTATACCTATCCACATTCTCAGACCAAGCAGCTGAGCCACCATGGAAGACAGGAAGCAAGAAGCTACTGCTCTATATCAGAGGAGACCTATTGGCCAACCCCATTCCTGCCCAAGCAGAGGGTCCCAGACAAAGACACTTGATGTCCACCTATTCCTTGATTATTTCAACAACAAAAAAAATAATAAAAAAAAGGAGGAGGGGAGAGAATATGGCCTTCCTGAGATCACCAGGAATTGCAATTCTTTCAGCTCTTTCCCACTGGTTGTGCTGGCTAGGGGTGATGGGTAGCAATGTGCCATTCAGGTTTTTTGGACTCCAACGCCCAGAAATCTGCACAAATTCCCCAGCAGAATCCCGAGAGTTCCAGCCCACAGACCCACACCTCCAGACACCTGTAGACGTGGGAGAGACCCCAAGAGTCACAGAGGCCAAGACCTCCCGAAGCAGGAAACCCCTACCTAAAGCAATCTTAACGTGTGCCAATTTTGTATGTATAAGCTGTTAAAATACAGTGAAGGGGCCATGGAAAAAGTAGCCCTGACAATGAAAGTATATTTAGAAGAGCAACTTGGAAATAATTTACTTTAGTCATTACAAAACCTTTTTTAAAGAGTACCAGAACAATTAGCCTGTCAAACCTACAGTTCAATGCATTCCAATGGGGGGGAAAATTCATCAAAACTTAACAAAGAGTCAGAACAAAGCCAAATTAAGTTTGCAAAGGTCTTACAAGGTGCACTAACGATCCCAAGCATTTAAAACAGTTTTTGAACATTTTAAGACACTTTAAAAATAGCAAAAACGGACATCGCAAAACCATTGGAATGCACTGAATAGGCTTCAATGCATTCCAATGGGGAAAACATTGTTTCGCTTAGCGATGTTTCCTATGGCGATTTTCGCTTAAGGACGGTAATCCGTTCCCATTGGAACGGATTAACCGGTTTTCAATGCATTCCTATGGGAAATGGTGTTTCGCTTAGCAATGTTTTCCCCTAGCAATGTTTTTTTGGGAACCAATTAACATCGTTAAGCGAGGCACCACTGTAGTAGCTAGGCTACTACTCTGGGCGGCCAACAGAATGACACACAGACATCAACAATGATGATGATAATAACAATAAAACAAAAGGGAGAAAAGGGGTTTCAGACTTAGCTATAGGAACCCCAAATGAAAAAAGGAAAATTCATGGCAGACGGGTGGCAGAAGGGATACAAAATATTACTTAATGAGGGGCAAACTACAGAAAGGCTTTGGGAGAACAACCAGGTGTTACAGTCAGCTCTGATGTCACCTGTCCTTCAAGGGTTTGGAGGGAAAGATGTCATCCAATGGTGGTCGGAGGGCGGGACATCAGGGGGAGGAGCTGTGTTGTATATATAGAAAGTGAGAGTTGGATGTGGG